GAGATTTCATTATTTGAGGATTTTGGTGTTTTGTGGAGTTTTAGGATTTGGCGATTTTGTGATTTCAAGCATTTGGTGATTTGACAATTTGAAAATTTATTTAGTGATTTGAGGATCACGCGATTTGAGGATTTTGATGACTTGAGAACTTTGAGGATTTGGTGAGTTGCGGATTGGGTGATTTGAAGATTTTGATGGTTTGAGAACTTTGAGGATTTGAAAATTTGAGAACTTCGTGATTTGGTGATTTAAGGATTCAAGGGTTTTTGAGAAATTAGTTACAGAGGATTTGGTGATTTGTGGAGTATCAGGATTTGATGATTTTATGATTTCAAGCATTTGGTGATTTGAAAATTTGAGGATTCCTGCATTTTTGAGGATTTGGCGATTGAGGATTTTGATAGTGCGCGGAGTTTGAGAAATTGAAAAATTGAGAATTTTTGAGGACTTGGTGATTTGACGATTAAAGATTCGTTTATTTGAGGATTTTGGTGATTTGTGGAATTTTTTGGATTTGATGATGTCAAGTATTTGGCGATTTAACGATTCGAAGATTTAGTGATTTGAGGATCTGGTGATTTCAAGATTTTGATGATTTGAGAACTTTCGAGGATTTAAAACTTGAGAATTTGGTGATTTGAGGATCTGGTGACTTGAGAACTTCGCGACTTGCGGATTTGGCGATTGAGAATTTTGAAAGCTTTAAAACTGAAGAATTGAAAATTTGAGAATGTTTGAAATTTGATTATTTGAGAATTTTGGTGATTTGTGGAGTTTTAGGATTTGACCATTATATGATTTCAAGCATTTGGTAATTTGACGATTGGAAGATTTGATGATTTAAGAACTTTGAGGATTTGAAAATTTGAAAACTTCGTGATTTGGTGATTTGTGGAGTATCAGGATTTGGCGATTTTGTGATTTCAAGCATTTGGTGATTTGATAATTTGAGGATTTTTGAGGATTCCTGCATTTTTGAGGATTTGGCGATTGAGGATTTTGATACTGCGCGGAGTTTGAGAAATTGAAAAATTGAGAATTTTTGAGGACTTGTGATTTGAGGATTTGAAGATTTGAAAGGTAAAGATTTGTGGATTTTTAGGATTTGAGGATTTGGTGATTTCAAGCATTTGGTGATTTAACGATTTGAAGATTTAGCGATTGAAGATTTTGATGCTGTGAGAACTTTGGAGATTTGAAAATTTGGGGACTTGGTGATTTGGGGATTCAAGGGTTTTTGAGCATTTAGTTATCGAGGATTTGTGGATTTTTAGGATTAGAAGAATTGGTGATTTGGGAATTTGAAAATTTGTTGATTTGAGGATTTGGTGATTTGAAGATTTTGGTGATTTGTGGAGTTTTAAGATTTGACGTTTTGGTGATTTCAAGCATTCGACTATTTGAAGATTTTGGGGATTTGAAAATTTGAGGATTTTGTGGTGAGGATTCAAGGGTTTTTGAGGACTGGGTAATTTGAGAATTTGGTGATTTGAGAATTTTGAAGATTTGAAGATGTAAAATTTATTTGAGGATTTTAGTGATTTGAGGATTTTTAGAATTTGAGGATTTGATGACTTGGTGATTTGGGGATTCAAGGGGTTTTGAGGATTTAGTTATGGAAGACTAGTGATTTGTGGATTTTTAAGATTTGAAAATTTGAGAACTTGGTGATTTGCGGATTTTTAGGATTTGAGGAATTGGTGATTTCGACGATTTGGTGATTTGAAAATTTGAAGATTTGAGGATTTGGATTTTGATGCTTTGAGAACTTTTGAGAATTTGACGATTGACGATGTGATTATTTGAGGATTTTGGTGGGTTTTTAGTATTTGGTCATTTGACAATTCGAAGATTTGGCGATTCAGGATCTGGTGACTTGAGGATTTGGTGATGAGGATTTGAAAATTTGGTGATTTGAGGATTTTCAAGATTTGGGGATTTTCGAAGGCAGTGACGCTTTGAAAAATAAAATAAAGGTTTTATTATCGCAACTATGAAAAAAAAGTCTATGTTTAAAAATTGCTATAATACCTATCATCAAATTAGAGTATAACAAAAAAAATACCATTTTTTCAGTAAAGGTACTGCGCTATTTTTGATCATCCTGTAGTTCTTGTTGGAAGATTTGATGATTTAAGAACTTTGAGGATTTGAAAATTTGAGGATTTTTGAGATTTGGTGATTTGAGGATTTTGAGGATTTCAAAGTTAAAGATTTGTGGATTTTAGGATTTGAGGATTTGGTGATTTCAAGCATTTGGTGATTTAACGATTTAAAGATTTAATAATTTGAAGATTTGGCGATTTGAGGATTTTGATGATTTGAGAACTTTGAGGATTTGAAAATTTGTGGATTTGATGATTTGAGGATTTGGTCCCTTGAGGATTTCGCGACTTGCGGATTTGGCGATTGAGAATTTTGAAAGCTTTAAAAGTGAAGAATTGAAAATTTGAGAATGTTTGAGATTTGGTGATTTGATGATTGAAGATTTGATTATTTGAGAATTTTGGTGATTTGTGGAGTTTTAGGATTTGACGATTATGTGATTTCAAGCATTTGGTGATTTGACGATTGGAAAATTTGATGGTTTAAGAACTTTGAGGATTTGAAAATTTGACGATTTTTGAGATTTGGTGATTTGAGGATTTTGAGGATTTGAAAGTTAAAGATTTGTGGGTTTTTAGGATTTGAAGATTTGGTAATTTCAAGCAATTGGTGATTTTACGATTTGAAGATTTGACGATTTTGATAATTTGAGAACTTTGAGGATTTGAAAATTTGTGAATTTGATGATTTGGTGCCTTGACGATTTTGCGACTTGCGGATTTGGCGATTGAGAATTTTGAAAGCTTTAAAACTGAAGAATTGAAAATTTTAAGAATGTTTGAGATATGGTGATTTGATGATTGAAGATTGGTTTATTTGAGAATTTTGGTGATTTGTGGAGTTTTAGGATTTGACGATGATGTGATTTCAAGCATTTGGTGATTTGACGATTGGAAGATTTGATAATTTAAGAACTTTGAAGATTTGGTGATTTCAAACATTTGGTGATTGAAAGATTTGAAGATTTAGCGTTTGAAGATTTTGATGCTGTGAGAACTTTGGAGATTTGAAACTTTGAGGACTTGGTGATTTGGGGATTCCACGGTTTTTGAGCATTTAGTTATGGAGGATTTGGTGATTTGTGGATTTTTAGGACTAGAATATTTGGTGATTTGGGAATTTGAAAATTTGATGATTTGAGGATTTGGTGATTTGAAGATTTTGGTGATTTATGGAGTTTTAAGATTTGACGTTTTGGTGATTTCAAGCATTTGGTGATATGACGAATTGACGATTCGGCTATTTGAAGATTTTGAGGATTTGAAAATTTGAGGATTTTGTGAGATGAGGATTCAAGGGTTTTTGAGGATTGGGTAATTTGAGAATTTGGCGATTAAGGATTTTGATGGTGAGTGAAGTTTGAGGATTTTTGAGAATTTTGTAGATCTGATGATTAAAAATTTGTTTATTTGAGGATATTAGTGAATTGAAGATTTGGTGATTTGAGGATTTTGATACTTTGTGAACTTTGAGGATTTGAAAATTTAACAACTTGATTATTTGAGGATTCAAGGGTTTTTGAGGATTTGGTGACTTGAAAATTTGAAGATTTGATGATTGACGATGTGATTATTTGAGGATTTTGGTGATTCGTAGGTTTTTAGGATTTGGTGATTTGACAATTCGAAGATTTGGTGATTCAGGATTTGGTGACTTGAGGATTTGGTGATGAGGATTTGAAAATTTGGTGATTTGGGGATTCAAGGGATTTTGAGATTTAGTTATGGAAGACTAGTGATTTGTGGATTTTTAGGATTTAAAGATTTAGTGATTCTGATGATTTGAGGATTTTCAAGATTTGGGGATTCTGAAGATTTGGTGATTTAAGGATGTGAAGATTTGAGGATTTTCGAAGGCAGTGACGCTTTGAAAAATATAATAAAGGTTTTATTATCGCAATTATCGAAAAAAATAAAATATCTATGTTTGGAAATTGCTATAATACTTATAATCAAGTTAAAGTATAACAAAAAAATACGATTTTCTCAGTAAAGCTACTGCGCTATTTTTGATCATCCTGTAGTTGTTGTTCATTGGCTACATAATAGAAAAAATCTGTTTGCATAAACACGTCGTGACAACGTTTTAGTAACGTTATTTCAAGGTTAATCGATCGCTAATATATTTACACTGAACGGAACAACCACTTTTTTTATCTAATCTTCTAATTTCACGTATTATTAACGTTACTTGGCAGCCAGTCTTTCATACCAACTTTATTAAAACTAATATTAAACGTCCATTTCAAAATATTTAAATTACTCGAGTAAAAATTATTAAACCAAGTTTGTACCAAACGTTTCTTTCTGGACAATTAATTCTAATACTGCGATTAATATGTCGTAATATTAACGATGTGTCAACGTTACTGTTTTGATGTGGAAGCACTACGTGAATTATATTTTAACTTGAGTTGATTGCTTTTCCACGAAATATTTATTACTAATAATTGTTAATGATTACTAATAAACATTGCCCGCAAAAACAACCGATGTTTAAAGATTCATAAAAATTAAACCAAAACAGAACAACACAGTGCCGTTCTATCCAACATTCTTAGAAAGAATTTCCGCCGAAATATTACATTTTAACGTTAGTTTAACGTCATTAATTCAGAAAATTACGTTTTTTCAAGCTGAAGAATTAATACGTCAAGCAACAATTAAAACTTTCACCGACGTTATTTCAACGTGTTTCTCTACCAAAAAACGACCTATCTAACGTAATTTCGACGTGAATTATCACGAAAGAAACTAAACTAAGTCAACTCCACCCGCCGCCACCGCATTCTCACGAATTATTAAATCAGCACACGACCAAGCGGCGGCGCTGCGGCCGCTCCCCAGCCGACCCGCTTCCACTTAGAATAAATATTTAATCACCCCCAAACTTACCTACAAAGTTATCCCACTCCGCACTAAAAGCCACGTGGTGCCTCAAGCACCCCTGCAACACCGTCGAGCAGTAATTCGAGCAGGTCCCCATCCCCCGCAGCCCACTACAACTTCCACAATACCGCATTCGCACGACTTCCTTCTCGCACTCCTTGTCGATCCCCACATTGACGAGCTTCCTCGCGGCTTCCGCCGCCGTCGACAAGGCTTTATGGTACGTCCTGGTGGCGATGAACGACCTCTTCAGCTGGAGGGTGAACTTGCGCGGCACGTCGCCGAAGGGCTTGAGGTCGTCCATGTGGCCCGAGACGCAGTCGAGGTACTTCTCGTCGAAGGAATACTGGGCGTTGATCACCGTGAACATGCGCTGGTACAGCACGACGAAGAAGGCTTCGAGTGTGTCGGACAGCCGGGTGGAGCCCTTCTTGTAGTACGCCTCGAGCTCTTTGAAGAAGTCGCTGAACACGTCCGAGTTCTGCAGGTAGATTTTACCGTAGGTTTTCTGGAACATCTCGTGGAATTCGATCTTGGAGGTGTTCATCATGTCACGGAATTGACCTGGGGGACAAATGTGAGATCGGGGAGTGAATGGTGAAGAATTCGGCTTACCGTCGAATTTTTTGGCCCGGGTGTCGATTAACGACGAGAGTTTGGTGATGGAGTCTTTGAGGAAGTGGTCGAGGTGGCGTCTGCTTTGGATGTACATTTCTTGCTCGGCATCTTTTGAACAACAGGAGTTACTGCCGCATGTTTCCCCTAGAACAAATTGCTTAATTTAGGTCTGGGTATTGTTTGTTTGAATTGTTAAATGGGGCAGATTAGCATAAAAGGCGGAGAATGGGGCGAAGAGTGAGGTTAAGAGACGCAATTAAAAGCTCGGGGATTACGTGGTTATTATCTTTATCGCAAGGCAAATTTACACTGTGGGGCTTTGTGCTCGACGTCGGCGAGGAAAGTGTTTACGATCACAAGAACGTGTAAAAACCCAATTTGAATTAAATTTTGCCGCGCCAGTGAAAGTCCCGCTCTACCTTCGAGTTCCGGCCCGCGCGCCGCCGCTGGCCGCGACCTTGCACCGGCGGATGCGATTTTGGCAATCGATGAACCCGACCTTTTATAGATAAAGCTGGTAATGTAGTCATCGCCTTATAAAGAACGGATAAACAAAATTTTTATTGTCGGCGGGGACTCGTTTGGGTAATTTATGCACATTTTGCATATTTCGGTCGTTAATTAAGCGGAAAAAAGCGACGGGGTCTTGTCGAATTATTCATTCGGATTTGTGGTTAAAGAGGAAGGTTTTTGTGGGTGACGTCTGACGAATCGACGGGTTTTTGTTATTAACATCGACGGTTTGAGGAATTTCAGAAATGCCGAAAACTTTAAGTGAAGTGGATGTTTGACGGTCGAAATTAATTAGGAACGTCAGGAATTCGGAGATTCTTCTCGGCTCGGATGTTCCGGTTTGCTTAACCCGCATCACACTAAACGGTTTTTTGTTTATGGGATTGGTGCGGTTTTATTTTCTCTGGATGCCGGTGCAGAATGTAAAAGAATGTTTACCCAAAATTAAATAGTGTTCTAACTTTTTGTCTAAAAAAGGGTTGAAACCATACGCATTACTGACGTTATTTCAACGTTATTCGAAAATAACTTATTTAATCCTCAAAATTAAACTATGAAGCCTGCACTTTTCCTTAGTTAAAAGGGTTGCCGTGGGAGACACTTCATTACGACTAACAATTGTGTCTTTGAATGTGACGTAATTACAACGTTATTTTACCGTTGGGCAATTGCATATTATTAAGCACAATCAAACGTTAATGGGCATCTCCTTGAAAAGTGAAGGTTTTGCATAAACAAACGTTTTGAGTTCAACCTACTTTTTAAATTTTGAAATGTAACAACGTATTATTAACGTTATTTTAACACCACTCGTTTATAGAAATTAGATTATTCATATTCCAGGTAGTTTTAACGTTATTTTGACGTTGATTGAGCAAAACAAATAACAAACTTCTGAATGATTTTCTCGAATGATCGAATAGCAACATTTTTACGGACAATTGACTTTTGCAACATAATATTGACGTTGTTTTAACGTTTTTCGTTTAACAAAAATTATAATGAACGAACTAAGACACGTCCCAACGTTATTAGTCAATCGAACTTCTAAAGATGACGTATTAATTATCAACTTTATTTCAACGTGATTGATTGATTGATTGAGTAAATATTAACAGGAGATAGATATTTTTAAAGATAAACTACTTAACTTCTGTATGTTATTTCAACAAAATGTAATAAAATCTGGAACTTCTCTCTTTTATTTAATGAAACTATATTTTTGTCGAACGGAATCAAAACAATCATTTTTAATTTTTTTCTAACCATTTTTGAATTTAACGTGGCCTCTAAAGTTTTTTTAAGTTCTGTTGCTTTGTTTTAGAATAAATTTGAAAAAAATGTTGGTTCCCCTGGTGTCTTTCTTGTTAATAATTGAAAAAAAAAAAGAGTTTTAACCGCTGGTGTTTTATTTTAAGAAGATTTTGAAAGATTCTTGGAGCCTCTGATGTGTTTTTTTCTAAACAATTCAAAAGAATGTGAATGCCTCTGGTGTTTTATTTTAGAAATAATCTTGGGAGCCCCTGGTGTTTTTTTGTAACGAATTTTTGGGGCTCCTTACCTTTTGATTTAGAACTACATAATTTGAAAGAATTTCAGGAGCCCTTGGTGTTTTATTTTAGAAAGAATCTTGACAGTTCCTGTTTTGTTTTTAAATGAAATAATCCTTACAGCCCCTAGTGTTTTGTTTTAGAACTAATTTAAAGTAATCTCAGGAACCTTTGGTGTTTTTTTTTTTGAAGATTTTGAAAGAATCTTGAGAATACTTCGTGTTCGATTTTTGCGAGAATTTGAAAGAATCTTTAGAACTGCTGATCTTTTATTTTAGACCTAATTTGAAAGAATCTTTATTGGAGAATTTAAAACAATTCGAAAAAAACCTTTAAAGGCTCCGGTATTGTTCCCGAAAAAAAATTGAAATAACTTTGGGGAACGAACTTTAGGGGTCCCTGGTGTTTTGTTTTATGTAGAACTAGTTTGAAAGAATCTCGAGAGCCCGTAGTGTTTTTTCTGAAGGCTTTGAAAAAATCTTGCGGAGTGTTCATGCTCGGTTTTTGCGAGAATTGGAAAGAATACTGGGAATTCCTGGTCTTTTATTTTAGAACTAATCTAAAAGTATTTTAGGAGCCAAAATCTTTAAAGATTTTGAAAGAATCTTGGAGGCACCTAGTGCTGTATTTTTTCGAGAATTTGAAAGAACCTTGGAGGCTCCTGGTGCTTTATTTTAAAAAGAATCTTGAAAGTTTGTGTTGTTTTATTTTTAAAAGATTTTGAAATAATCTTTTGAGCCCATGATGTTTTGTTTTAGCACTAATTTAAAAGAATCTTTAAACCCCTGATCTTTTATTTTAGACCTAATTTGAAAAAATCTTGTGATCTCTGGTGTCTTTTATTCGAAAATTTAAAAGAATTTGAAAAGAAACATTAAGGGGCTCTGGTACTGTTCCCGAAAAAAATTTGGAAAACCCCTAGGGAACCAAGTGTTTTGTTTTCGGAAGATTTTGAAAAATTCTGAAAGACTCTTTGGAGTCCCTGGTGTTTTGTTTTATTTAGAACTAATTTGAAAGAATCTCGGGAGCCTTGGTTTCTTTTCTGAAGACTTTGAAAGAATCTTGCGGACAATTCGTGCTCGGTTTTTGCGAGAATTTGAAAGAATACTGGGAATTCCTGGTCTTTTATTTTAGAACTAATCTAAAAGTATTTTAGGAGCCAAAATCTTTAAAGATTTTGAAAGAATCTTGGAGGTACCTAGAGCTGGGTTTTTTCGAGAATTTGAAAGAATCTTGGAGGCTCCTGGTGCTTTATTTTAGAAAGAATCTTCAGAGTTCATGTTGTTTTATTTTTAAAAGATTTTGAAATAATCTTTAGAGGCCCTGATGTTTTGTTTTAGAATTAATTTAAAAGAACCTCGGGAGTCCTTGATGTTTTTTTTTCAAGATTTTGAAAGAATCTTTAAACCCCTGATCTTTTATTTTAGACCTAATTTGAAAGAATCTTGTGGTTTCTAGTGTCTTTTATTAGAGAATTTAAAATAATTTGAAAAGAAACATTTAGGGGCTCTGGTACTGTTCCCGAAAAAATTTGGAAAATCCCTGGGAAACCACGTTTTTTGTTTTCGGAAGATTTTGAAAAATTGTGGAAGACTCTTTGGGGTCCCTGGTATTTTGTTTTATTTAGAACTAATTTGAAAGAATCTCGGGAGCCCTTGGTGTCTTTTCGGAAGACTGAAAGAATCTTGCGGAGTGTTTGTGCTCAGTTTGTGCGAGAATTGGAAAGAATATTGGAAATTCCTGGTTTTTTATTTTAGAACTAATCTGAAAGAGTTTTAGGAGCCAAAATCTTTAAAGATTTTGAAAGAATCTTAGAGGCATCTAGTGCTGAGTTTTTTCGAGAATTTGAAAGAATCTTGGAAGCTCCTGGTGTTTTATTTTAGAAAGAATCTTGAGAGTTCCTGTTGTTTAGTTTTTGAAAGATTTTGAAATAATCTTTAGAGCCCCTGATCTTTTATTTTAGACCTAATTTTAAAGAATCTTGTGGTCTCTAGTGTCTTTTATTCGAGAATTTAAAAGAATTTGAAAAGAAACATTTAGGGGCTCTGGTACTGTTCCCGAAAAGAATTTGGAAAAACCCTGGGGAACCAAGTGTTTTGTTTTCGGAAGATTTTGAAAAATTCTGAAAGACTCTTTGGGGTCCCTGGTGTTTTGTTTTATTTAGAACTAATTTGAGAGAATCTCGAGAGCCCTTGGTTTCTTTCCTGAAGACTTTAAAACAATCTTGCGGACAGTTCGTGCTCAATTTTTGCAAGAATTTGAAAGAATACTACGAATTCTTGGTCTTTATTTTAGAACTATTCTGAAAGAATGTTAGGAGCCAAAATCTTTAAAGGGTTTGAAAGAATCTTGGAGGCATCTAGTGCTGGGTTTTTTCGAGGATTTGAAAGAATCTTGGAAGCTCCTGGTGTTTTATTTTAGAAAAAATCTTGACAGTTCCTGTCGTTTTGTTTTTGAAAGATTCTGAAATAATCTTCAGAGCCCCTAATGTTTTGTTTTAGAACTAATTTTAAAGAATCTCAGGGGTTTTTTTTGGAAGATTTTGAAAGAATCTTTAGAACTCCTGATCTTTTATTTTACACCTAATTTGAAAGAATTTTGTGGCCCCTGGTGCATTTTATTGGAGAATTTAAAAGAATTTGGAAAGAAACCTGTAGAGGCTCCCGTATTGTCCCCGAAAAAAATGTGGAAGAACCTTGGGGATCGAGTGTTTTGTTTTTGGAAGATTCTGAAAAAATCTGAAAGAATCTTGATGTTTTGTTTTATTTAGAACTAATTTGAAAGAATCTCGGGAGTCCTTGGTGTCTTTTCGGAAGACTTTGAAAGAATCTTGCGGAGTGTTCGTGCTCGGTTTTTGCGAGAATTAGGAAGAATACTGGGAATTCGTGGTCTTTTATTTTAGAACTAATCTGAAATAATTTTAGGAGCCAAAATCTTTAAAGATTTTGAAAGAATCTTGGAGGCACCTAGTGCTGGGTTTTTTCGAGAATTTGAAAGAATCTTGGAAGCTCCTGGTGTTTTATTTTAGAAAGAATCTTGAGAGTTCCTGTTGTTTTGTTTTTGAAAGATTTTGAAATAATC